ATTCCTGCTTAAGATGACAGACATCTTAATCACTTACCATTGAATGACACACTTCAGACAGGTCCTCTACCGGGGATGTCTCTGTACCATAGCTGCATTATAGATGGATATCACTTCAGCTTTAAAGCACAAAATATTTTCCAAGGAGTCAAAATAAATCTCATCTCACACTTTGCAAAATCTAGACTCTGAATATGTCAACATGATCACAGCGCATAATGATTTGCTACCATTCATTGGAAAAGTTGAATCGTTTCAACAAAGGATTTCAGATTCTCTTTTCAACTGAATTTTAGTTTGTTCAGAAACCACAGCTACAGAGAGTGTGCCTTTGGTGAAACTAAGGTGTTATATTTAGCTAAGTTCAGCAAATTTTGGTGATGCATGCTGACAAGACGTGAAACCACTCTACATTCCACTAAAGAAACATGAGAGCTGTCTTCAAGGATTTGGACCAATTGTGTCATGGTTTCATTCCGAACATATTTTAGAAAGTACATGCTTCGATGCAGGAACCATTTTAGTGTCTGTATAAAATGCACACCATGGTGCAGCCTTTTCCAAATGATAAACCTCTGGAACCATAAATGTCCACAAATCATTTTTCTTTACATACCAGACATCAAAAGGTGTGTCAAATGATGCCCCATAAATGTTATAGAAGGAGACCCCTTCTGGCAATTGGACATTATTGAGAATCTGACGAGTACCAGCAGCCCTTCTGAGGATAGAGAAGTTGAATGGTAGCGCTATGGTGTTTCCATTATAATTTAACTGCAAAAAAAAGACACAAGTATAATGAGTTTGGATGGTGATTTAATAAGAAATGCACAATAAAGTATAATGAGTTTGGATAGTGATTAAATAAGAAATGCGCATTACAGATCAAATACCCAGACCTTTTGATAGCACACACTACTTAGCAAGAAGTCATTATCTGTCCCAGGTAAAAGCATCAAGCAAACGTACACCCAAGTCAACTAAAGGAAAATGTCAAATCAATGCTAATAACATCGTTTATGAACCTTTTAATAGCATGACCTAACATACGCATGTTGAAGACTGAAACAGAGAGAAAAATACCAGATGAAAAGTTCAAGGGAGACAACAAATCCACAGAGGTATTTTCCAGCTACAAGAATCTTGACACCGAAACTTCAGATCAGATGGTGGTACCTCGTTATTCCTCAATGCTTCTTCAAAGAGAGTGATACATTCAACAGGACCAAAAGACTCCAATTTGGCAGGGGTTTCCCCATCGTTTGATTGCTTTCTCCAAACTTGAATTTGTGGTTCTGTTTTCCAATTAAAATCTGGATTTGGCAACATTTCATAGATCGATGGGCACTCAACCAACTATGTGCAAAAAGAAAAACATGTGCATATAGATCACCATGGAGTTTTGACAAAAAATATCATATATCAGTGACAATGCTATCTGAATATGCCAAAAACATAGCTTCAATAGAATATATGGAGATAGACAAACTTCCCTAGGCACTAAATGCATAGGTAAGAGAGTTTTGTGCTTTTAAGATATTTTCTCAATTGATAGTTGTTACAAACATTGGTTATGCATCAGGATAAGTGTTAAAGAAAATGAAATTACCAGTTGGTGCATTGTCCACCTAGAAACAAAAAAGTAACTCTCGAAACCATCAACAAACTGCAATCCAGTTAAGAGAGAGTCATTGATGCATCCTGGTGCACCTGTTAAGCAAAAAAGTTCATTAGTCCTGCTTTCTTTAACAACTTTAAATGAATAGGAAAGGAGGGGCATTTAGGTGAAAAATACATCATTTGTTAAATGCTGAGAAATTCATGGGATAAAATTCAATAAGATCTCCTAGAATTTGATGAAATTGCGAGGACTTCCTTGTTAGCTTAAAATATAAGAAAAATCATCAGTACAAATAGACTGAGACTGGTGGCACATGAAGAGAGCATATGCAAGGCTATCGATTAAACTTCAAATTAGAGGCCTCCGCAACTACCTTTCTAGAGGCCACCGATTGATGATATTCCTTTTACAATTGTTCTAATAATAATGACAACATGATTGGGATTTTTTCCCATCCTTTTTTATAGTGTGAATAGGGTAGGGAATTATTTTGGAATATTTTATAAAAGCACAAGATGTTTCTATTGACCAAGTGCAGCTCCACACCTAACTCATTTAAATAGCATGACATGTGTAATATTTATCAAGAGTCACAAACAATCTTGGTGGAATGCTCGAATATAGAAAAAGCAGGTTCTTCCAAACATTTCTCAACATTTCTAGAATTCCAATAGCTCTCATAAGGTTGACAGAATCTCTCTTAGTGAAGGCATGTTTGCTAAACATAGAGACATTACACGGAGTACCTTGGAAAGGACAGGCAATGCAGATCCACTTATTCACAAACTTGGAAAACAACTGCCAATGAAAGATTAAAATTAATCAGCCATGCCTCTTCTAAGAAATAAAGAGATTATTTTTGTCAGCATTCTCCTGAAAAATTTAATAATATTCAGCTTGTAGCCCAAAGAAAATATACACACGTCTTTGTGAAGTGAAATGAAACAAGAAACCAGCAGTCCACCCATGGAATGTGAAATTATATTAACTTTTCTACCCCCAGAAGCTTTATAGGCAGCTTCCAACTTCGCTTTAAGACCTTCCATTGATTTTTCAATTCTGTCAACAATAAAATATATAGTACTCAGATTTTACTACTTAATAAGTAGGAAGCAAAAATAGCATCAGACATTATCACTTTTGAATATAGATGAAATTACATGGAAATTGTGTGGCCAAGAAAACAGCTTTACTCATCAAAAATATAACAAGTTGAACAAACACTCACCTGTTGCTTTGCCGAAAATCATAACCATATCCAAACAATGTGGTTCCCTTCTTATATCCACAATTAACTAGCATATCAATCATGTCATGAAAATGATATACCCCTGACAAATGAATAAGCTTCACAAACTGGAAAATGACAATGAGTATAAGTTTCACAAACTGGAAAATGACAATGAGTATCAGATAATAACATAAATTGTATTTTGTTTCATAGATGGATTACAACAGAAATATTGATAAATTAGAAGAAAAAAATGACAAAATAAAATAGATACTCCAACTCATAATACCATGATTCAGTATTTGTATTACTAGACATCAAATGTCGTATTTGAATAAGGAAATAAATTACAGCAAGTCATAAGCTAATCCATGGAAATACTAAGAAGAATCAAATAGATAAATAACAGTAAATCAAATAGATATTGTTTGTATTGGCAAGTCCAGGATCTCAAGGATTAATATGTATCACAACAGAACAAACTGAAAGCAACATTATTGTAATAATGGCTCAACATCCAGCCTCAATTCAAGGAGTCCAACATATTGTACATATGAGCAGGCAAATCCCAGAACATATCACATCACCAATTCATATAGGCAGACTTAACAGTACTGCCAGTTCAGTAGCAGTTTAATGTTAAGATGGTACTAGTAGGGGTAAAGAAGACACATCTCATCATCAGTCGCATCAGAATATAGTATCAAAAAACAATAAATTTTAATTTTTTATATGAATCATTATATAGAAAAACTAATCTGCAGAAATGCTAAACAAGAAGAAGAAAAATAGCTAATTTGATAGGAGAACGGGTAATCAGTAACCCTATATTTTTCTCCACCAAATTGATTGTTGGAGGGTACAGAACTAAAAGAAGCCTTCTTTTTGTGGGATGCGTATATGTATGATGATAATTGCAGACTTATTCTATTATGCAGAGCTAAAACAAGCCCTTTTCATGGGATATCACATATATGTATGATGATAATTGCATATACTTACTCTACTGAAATGGAATTTTCATTTGAGTGAAAACAGATGATTCATAGCCGTTATCCTTCCTTTATTTGGGTGCAAAACGAGAACAAGGAAGAAATCTATACATTTATTTTTATTTTTATTTTTTTGCCTTTAAACAAAAGGAAAGGGTTATTTCTCACCCTTCCCCATAACTTTCCTTTCTTCTTACTTATCCCTTCCTCTCTATATATCTTCCCAGGCAAGGTACAGTAAGTTTTTAGTTAATAAAGTAAGTCAAGATTGCAACACAAGTTCTGGACAACAAGAATTAACGGAGAAAATTATTAATCTTACCCATGACGGATCTAAAATGTCAATGGCGTACAGCCCAGAATCATCATCAGGGACTACAATCTCAGTGTCACTGTCCAATACTTCTGTATAACCTGAACGATACAGATAAAGGAACTTCAGGAAATATAGGGGAAAAAATGATCGAACCGAATTACCGTGCACATGATGGGCCAAAAATGCAGTGTGTCATGGCCAAGTAGCTTAAGAGTCAAAAACCAAGCGATTGAATAATCTAACAGTGCCACAGCACTCAAAAAGCCACATTTTTATTATAGGTATCAGCTAAGGAATAGTACCACTTTTGAAAGTCAATAAGAATTTCATAAATGATCCAAATTTGAATTAAGAACATCCGGGGATTTTGTCGGGTCCTGAAAACATAACATAATTTTCATGTTTAGCTGTGATGGATAGAAGCTAGTGTTCTCAAGCCCTAAGATTATAAACCTACACTATAGAAAAATTTAGATAAAACTCTCTCGTATTTTATGAAATATGAAAAGTCTGAATCTAAATATCAAAGTAAACCAAACGTACTAGTTTCAAACCTAAAATCCTTTATAGGAAAGTATTTCTAATTAAAACTTCCCCAACTAATAGAATCTATCTATCACTGGAATTTATAACAATTAAAATACTAATCAAACTAAAAACATTAATCTAAATAAAAAAAAAATCTTAAATCAACTAGAAAAATAAAGATAATTTTGCACGGTAACTTCCACCCTTTATTTGGAGGCCTTCACAACTTCCGATTATCATGATATTTTAACCAAGTTGGAAACATGGCCTCCAGAATGTTCTATCAAAATTACAGCTCGATGCAACGATGAAATTAAAAGTTGTGATTAATTTACCAAACCATGTCTAGGACCTTTTTTAAACTAAAGAAAAAAACTGAAAACTTTAATCATTAATAAAATAATACAATAACCGTTATTATTATTATAACAAGAGTAATGAAGGAATTTCCCCTCGTTAGAAGAATCCGATTCAACTTTTAAATAGATAAAGTTACATACTTTCACTTTGGGACTAAGAATTTTTTTTTTTTTTCTTCTAGTAAGAAGGAAGTGAAGTAAAAGAAAACTTCCAAGAAAATATAATTTGTTTTCTGCCCTTTTTGCCACTTCCTGTCCTCTTCCCACGACCAAACAAGTGTGTGTGTGTGTGTGTGTGAATTAATATAAATGGTACGTCACACAAAATTCTTGTCTTTTCTACATTTTCTTGATAACCAAACTCTTTTAGATAAATACCAATTCATGTTTCTCTTTCTCTCTTTCTTTTCTCAGCAACCAAACAAACAAAGAAGTACAGAACTTTCTAAGCATAAACACAAGAACTCCATCCATGCATGGGTAGAGAACACAATACATATGTAAGTATTTAGTCGTAAAGAGAAGGGAGGAGACCTGTTTTTGGATTATAAACAGACCATATTTTCTTCCTAAACTCCAAATCAGCCAAGAGAAGCCTGACCCAAACCCGAGTCTCAAACCCGTTCTTCTTCTTTGAATGGAGAATGGACCCTGCGATTCCGGAAACCAATAGAACCGGGTCACGATCGGGTTCGGTATCGACGAAGCTTCCGTCTCCGAAACAGGGGCAGAAACTGAAGTCTTGTAGCATGATTGGGTTGAAACGGGAATGTATTCGGGTTCGGGTTTGAGAATGGCAGAGACTATCGAGAGTTGAGACTAGAGAGAGCCAGTCAGGATGGTTAGCGGGGCCGGTGGTCCCTTTTCCTTTAATATTTATTGCAGTCTTTAATTTTTGTTTTTTTATTTTATTTTTCGGCTTGATGCTTGCGCAAGTCGATAAGATTGCGGTACAGGTCAAGATTTAAATTTTAAAAAAATAAAAATTAATTTTTTTAATGATAATATAAAAAATAAATTTTAAAAAATAAAAAATATATTATTTTAATATATTTTTAATAAATATTTTACGTCTTTCACATTTTAAAAGTGTTTGGAAATATAAAAAAGATATTGGATTTTGAATCCAAAACTCTGACCCTGGACGTCGTTGCTCTGTCAGCTTACACAAGAGCTTTGGTAGCATTGGGAGACCTTTGATTAGATAAAAAGTTCACTTGTTAAATCCATGAAATATTTTTTTATTTAAAAATATATAAAAAAGATTTTTTTTTATTTTTTAAATATTTTTAACATTAATATGTTTCAAAGGATTCAGTGACCTTTCTATGACCATTTTCCGTTCATTATCTGTGAATTTTTTTTTAAAAAAATTGTTTTTCAACGTAATTGATTTGTTTGGAAGGGAACGGCATGGTTATTATCATATGATGTTCGTCATTACCAAGCAAAAATCAATTTCTTGTTCAATAAATCTAACCTGTTAGAATGTCACACTATATATAGGGAAGGGAAAGGAAATCACTCAGCTCGCCGAAATTTAGGATCACGAAAAAGAAATGTACTCAGCTCGCCGAAAATTAGGGTCACTCCCGTTAGCCATGGATAGCCTTGGAATCAGCCGTTTAATAGTTTCTTCCAATTATTTTTCAAATAAAATAAAATAAAATTTTAAATTTTTATAAAATATATAGCTGTCATCAAACATCAAACAGATATTCAAGTTAAAGACAATTATGAACACATTATGCTCTGTTATCGTTGTACTTTTAATTTATTAGTTGTTGATCTTAATAACAATAATCACTTAAATAATGTGTTGTTATTTCCATTTTTAAGAATACTTAATTTTAATGGTTCTCAAGGAAGGTAGTGTAATAACAAATAGCCCGAGAACTGCATAATAAATCTTAAATTAAGTTAAAAAATGTATTTTTTTTTGTAAGAATTTTAAATAATCAGGGTTTTACTTATTCAGACTTATAAAATATATTTTTATAAATGAAAGATGGAATTTCCTCAAATCTAAAACTAAAAATTTTGATATATCCTAAAATTACTAGTTTGATTTGAATAATAAGATGTTTTATATGATTATTTCTTTTGATTCAGGCTTGTTTTCACCTGTTAAGATTATGGCATCTATATGAAAAATTCTTATGAATCTTTTTTAAAATCATAATGGTTAATGTAAATGTATATTGACGTAGAATATAGTTCGATATCCCGCTGCAACTAGAAATATTGACTGTAATAAATAAATAAATAAATAAACCCCACCTTCAATCAAATATTACATTTTATCGAAGGCCAGTTACATTTTACATTTTTTTATTTAATATCAACAAACAAATAAACAAATGCCGGGAAATAACAAGCGGCCCACGTTTTCGGTGGCTGTAGTTGAACCGCAACCAGCTACCTGTCGTGTCTTTGACTAGTTGTTGGGATTGGATCGCTGCTGAAGAAAGCTCCACAGACTCTGATAGCAACAGGGGAAAGAAAACAAAGCAGAAACCATACTTATCAGTAGAGTGGATGGAAAATGCACAGAAGGGAACCCAGCCAAGCAAGCAAGCAAGAAGAATATGCTGCGGAATCATGCCTCTAGAATTTCGAAGTAATTTTCTTTTTCCCTGTACAACTTCACTTTTCTTGATTTTTTTTAATTAATGTGAATATTCGAATTAACTTACATGCATCACGACTAATTTTACAGTCCATTGAATATCCTGAAAGTCTAGTAAATAGATAAAATATACTACGGGAATAATAGGGATAACATATAAAGAAAAACCCAATAAAAATATGAAAGAAAACACCCTCTATCTCCGCTTCCATTATAACTTGAATCAAGATTCTAAAGAAAGAGAGCGACCCGAACACTCACCCACTGATCCACAACACTGCTGATTTGATTTTTGTTTTTATTTATACAAGAAAGGTAATTGACGAGTCACGACTGGGGACTTTACTGTAACTGTGCTTGAATAAATTGCTCTGATCTTTCTATTCATAGTCTCATCAGTCACGGGCTATGAAGCATGCACATGGATTTGGTAGTTGGTCACAGCAGTTTATTTATTTTTTTAAGAGTATTTGGAAACGTGAGTAGTTAAAAAATTTAAATTTATTTTACCAAAATATAATTTTTTATATTTTAAATGTTTTTGATATACTAATTCTAAAAATAATTTTTAAAAAAACTTTCAATCATGAAACTATGTTAGTGTCGTCATTTTAATCTCTTTTATCTGAATTAATCATAAGCATAGTCGACAAATTCATATCCTAACAATCTTTAGATCACATATTACCGTTTGATCTTCTACCTTGAAGAGTATTCATCTTCAAGTTCCCTACATCCTGCTAATTCAAGAAAGAAAACCCTATCCATATCCAGCCTGTGAAATTATTTAATTCTATACAATTAATCCATGGTTTTGCCCTTCCAAAATCTACTTACACCACGACTTTACTTCTCTTTATTAATTTTTTTTGGATTTTTTAAAATTTTAAATTGTAGCAGTTCTCACAAAAAATAAAAATAAAAATACTTATTTTAAATATCATGTATCATTTAACCTGGAGGGCAGACCTTGAATGAGAGTTTTCCTCTTCCCTCCCCGGGAAAAGATGTAATGAAACATGTGCTGTTCTGTGTCGGTTGTGATTTAGAGATTCATGATAAAATGCCTGGGAGAAAAACATTATGTTAGAGACTCATAATAAGATTATCCTTACAATTAGAGATTCATGATACGCTAAATTATACATGAAAAATATTCATGATGAATAATGGTTTTTGACTAAAAGTTTGAACTTGAGGATGATTTCATTTAAACCCAAGAATATTGATATTAAAGTTTTTTTTAATAGATATTTTTCTTAATTAATTTATATCTGTATTAATTAAGTTTACAGGCTTAGTTGTAACCAGATTTCTTCGGTAATATAAAAATAAAAAACGTAGTGGCATAGCATACATTTCCCTTGTAAATGAAGAAAGATTTCAACTGCTAAAAACAAACTCATTTCCTCCAGACGAGGATATTCACTTCCATCTAAATCCTTGGCTGAATTTAAGTCTGAAATTTCATTTTCACAATTCGCTCCGTATCTCTTCACAAAGTAAACCCAAATGACATGGATGCGTGTTATTAATTGGTGATCTTCTGTGTAAAATTAATCAGGTGATTGAAGACATCAAGAGCTTCAGAGAGACAGCTCCGATGCATTTAGGCTAACACTTGCCCCAATATCTTCGTACGCGGGCGCCTCATATTGGATTTTGAATCCAAAACTCTGTCCCGGGACGTCGTTGCTCTGTCAGCTTACACAAGAGCTTTGGTAGCATTGGGAGACCTTTGATTAGATAAAAAGTTCACTTGTTAAATCCATGTAGTTAATGATGCTTTCTGGGGCAGAATTCTAGAT